ACTCGGGTGCATTAATGTTCAATGGCTTCTCTCAATTCGGCCACTGTCAAAATGCAGTGAAAAAAAAAACAATAAAATGACACTTGTACACATTTTTTTCACTTTTGAAATAATAAAATTATGATACACGACAAGTTTTCACTTATTGAAAGTATGTATACATTTTTGGGACAGCCTGTCTATGCATTTTATTAGGTACGCAAAAGTTTTGCTTTATGCTCGTTCCTATAGTTGTGTTGATCTCAACGCCACAGTCATTGGGTGTTCTACGGAGGTGTCAATGTAAGGTACGAACAAGGTTGGAGTCAAGCGGAACAACGTCCAGGGAATAGGTTGTGGGATACTTCGCGGTCACTGTTACACACGACTGCGTGCGGATAGTCCTTCTGCAGTTGAACAGATGGGCTCGCGGGCACTGGGCACGGCTTTAGTTATGCAGACCTCACGATTCGATTGAAGTGATCGGCGTCCAGGTTTGTAGGCACGAACGTGAACACCTATTTCCCCACTGGTGTTACATAATGTTTAACGAACCGTTACTGATAATCTTCTCAACGGTCTCTACAGTTTCCTCAATGACTATTCTACCAGACCTATCAACATTAAATTCTGCGGTCAACCTGTTCGTAAGGTTTGAGGGCAATGCACTGTTACACACTGATCGCGCCCCGTTTGAAGGATTCCTGTCATATTGGAGACAGTAGGAACTGGAGGCATGGAAAGGATTTTAGATCGTGTTTTGCCAGCAGGGTAGATCTGTATGATCTGTTTGTTTCCTGGTGGATGTTGTTGAAAGTGAGTTGTTGGAAAGCTTTCCATTAGTAGAGGCAGAACCAACCTGGTATGACAGCGGACTTCGATGTGTATCAACTTGTTCCTATATTCTGAATTTGCTGTACGGACCCATGCTCTTGTCATGATTGATGAAAAGAGGACGGTCAACAGGTATATCCTCGTTCACTTGCTACATGTTGTTTGGCTTGGACACAAGTAGTCTAGAAAACACTGTCAACCAAAAGGGGCATACGTATATCACTTGCTAGTTGCAACGATGACATCAATTGTCATTTCTACTCAGAGAAGGCTTTTGTATGGGTCTTCCAACCGCACGCTCTTCAGGAGGCCAAAACACTGTCTGTAGGACAGACGAATGACATGATCGCCGTAAACAATGTATTTTTACAATGCATAAACAACGAGGCTGCAGCAAATGTAAAAACATTGAGTAACCAAGAAGTAGAGGAAACAAAAGGACACACCGGGCACTATGAATTGGGGTATTTTCGCGACCATCAGCAAACTGGAGCCGCGCCGCTGCTCAAAACGGACAGAGCAACTCTGTTGGAAATGTCACGCATTTCTGAGGCGCTGCACCGAGCACTAGATGGATTTTGAACTACTCATTAGACAGGGAAGATACTCAGTAAAACAGAAGTTCACTGGAAAATCCCCGGTCGTCGGCTTGATTTCAGCAGACGTCTGTGGATACGATGGTCGTCAACACACGAATTGGCTTAGATCTCAGTCCTAAAGCATTTGGAACTGTGATGCTGAGGGATAGCTGATCAATTACAACCCTGCACACAACACTTACATATTGTAGACAGCGAATGCGGAAACCCGAGGAAATTCGCTGACAGACTGGAGATTGCTGCTGATCCCCAGGAGTCGAGCTGAAAGTATGACCGATAGTGAAGATCTCAGTGGGCCTCAGCGCTATGCTGTTGCTCTGCCAGTTCTTCATGGTCTCATTGAGAAAGTGACAGGACTGTGTCTACGTTGCAAGAAAAGTCGACGGTAAATTGAGATCTGATCTTTATACCTTCCAAACGGGCTGCGTGTTAGATGCGATGAGTCAACACGGGGACCATATCAGGGCACGGCAGACGTTATTCAGGTAGCGTTCCCACAATAAATGCCGAACATGGGCGGGGGGGAGCGCGGTTGCACGCGTAGGTGCAGGTTCACATCGTACCAGTCACCTGTGCCCGATCCCGCCTCCGGTCTTCTTGACACCGGGCTCGGGCAGATGAACCAACAGCGGTGCAGTAGATGCGTCCTAAGTCTACTATCACTTAACACGAAGCCACGCACAAGCCTCGTCCCTGCACCAGGATCCTATGGAGCACACTGGACTTCATCCAGATCGGCGGTCGAATGAGGAAGCCGCACAGTTCGTCAACATATTCTTCGAATAGATGACGCTGAAGATTATTTTACATAGATTCTTGGCGTGTGATGCAGCCTGCTTCGAATTCTGTCCCAATGGGTAATGTAAAGCTCCATAAGTCGTAACGAAAACTATTGGAAATCCGACAGACGTCGAATTTGGCAGGAATCTGTGTTGAATTTTCGCCTTGCGGCGCGGGGTTCGGACTTAATTAAAGGCTGTTGCTGAGGGTTCTGAACATTCTCCAGTTCTTAAAATGGAGAGGGGGGGGTCACCAAATATGCGATGCTCATGGATCCATACTCAACTGTAAACATATAAAATTATTTCTTTCCTTCCTACGGAAAAAAGCCAGAGACATTCGAGGGTTTGTAGCATGATCCTATGTGGAGAGTAGATTGCAGTGAGTTAGCAGTCTGTCCATGGATTAGAACAAATCTGTGCACTTTAGCAGCGTTTTGGAGGGCGGTTAGTTGAGTCGCCTATGTGTTGAACGTGTTTGACTGGTTAGTCCATGTGTTGAATCGGGGCGCATGATCACAAGGCACCGAGTATGCACGCCTCCGTGGTCGATGCGCTTTAGATGGCGCATATTTGTGGTTTCCGGGAGCACCGCAAGCAATGGAAATGTTCCTGATTCTTCCACATTTGCATAAAATATGTCAAAATTAGGCCTTTTCTGTATATACCTGCAAACCATTACTAGAATCTGGAAAGGGCAGATGAGATTCTGGTGCCTGAAGGGATTAACTCAAGTAGTCAGACAAACTCGAGATTGTACAATGACCAGCACAAAGAACAACGGACCGCATTCAAAAGCCATTGCAGAAACAATCATAGTGAAGTTGGGCTGCGTCCTCATAACATCACGTCTAAACTTCCTTTTCTAAACTATGGAGGAATATCCGCTAGTTATTGACCTCAACTAATGAATCCAACGCCAAGCATATGCAGGTTGTCACAAAGGTCTGCAAGTAACAACCTGGAAACCCGAAACTTCATAGGTAAATAGAGTAGGAGCTATTAATCTTAGAGGCAGGTCCATGGTGAGGGGAAGGAGGAGGGGGAAGTCAGTTATTGAAGCAAGGCAGTTCATGTTATAGTGAAAGCCTGTGAAGCGTGATTCAAAAATGGGGGGGGGCAAAGAACTGTGCAGCAGTCGGTCCTACAGGGGAGGAAAGAGGCGTCAGGGGGATTGACTTATCGATCGTTACCACGGTATTGTGAGGTTGGTCACATGATCCAGCTGCTCACAGAGTTCTGGTTTTCTTCTCCGTATTGCAACGGCCTCCGCAATCTCAGGAGACGCCCGGTCGTCGCTCGAAGTAAAACCTTAAATACAGTCCTTTGGTCGACCGTATGACCAGTGTCTACTAGGGGCTGAGTGATTGAACTCTTGGGTATTTTATTTTCTGTCCTAAGCAACTGTTTAAGCACCCGTTCAGTTGACCACGTT